AACAAGCTGCCGATGGCCATGCTGACCCAGTTTAACCGTTGGCGTCACAACAACACGAAACCCAGCAGTGTACCAACGCTATTGGAATGGGTGACTCTCGAGGCAGAATTCGCTACTGGAGCAGCGGAGATGGCCCACGGAGTCAGTTCTGCGGATGGTCATCATGCAGCGGCGCTGCCGACTAAACCAGCCCCTGCAAGAAGTCGACCAACGTTCGGTGGCAGTTCCGGAGCCCACGCGTCGTCATTCCTGGTCTCTGGTCAGAGCGCTGCCAAAATCCAGTGTGCAGTATGTGATGCGCCCCATCACACATGGAGTTGTGATATCTTCAAGAGCGAGTCGCCCAGCAGGCGGTGGGAAACAGCAAAGAAGAAAGGCCTCTGCTATAGGTGCCTTGGCACTGGACATCGAGGGACATCCTGTACCAGAAACAGGAAGTGCGGTGTCAGTGGCTGCAGTCAGACACATCACCAGCTGCTTCATGATCGTCAACCGCAGCAGAAGTGGAACCTGCCTGAAGCAGCCATGAGCAGTGATGTAGCAGCGTCAAGCGCTCCCACAGCTTCAATCAGCACAAGAGGGGCAACAACACCTGCAATAGAGCCAGCCTCTATTAATTGCTCCATCCAAGCATGCAACATCACGGAAGGGGAGCCGGATCTGGGAGGAGATCGGCCACGTGGAGTACCTTCGGTCTCGTTACGCATCCTCCCGGTGTCGCTTGTGCATGAAGGAGAACGGATACAGGTTAACGCTATGTTGGACGATTGCAGCACTACCACCTACATAACCACTGCAGCTGCCGGGCAGTTGAGGGTGGCAGGAAGACCGCAGCAGGCATCAGTTTCTCTTCTGAGCGGGTTGACGGAAACATTCGTCACGACGCCGGTCAACATCACAGTGGAAAGCGCTGACGGAACATTCAAGTCCAAATTAACGGCGCTAACTATTGAAAGCATCGCAAGCAACTTGAAGGCGGTTGACTGGGCGAATGCGGCAGCGCAATGGGACCACCTGCGAGATGTTCCCTTCACGGCTCTCACCGAGGAATCAGTGGACCTTCTAATTGGCAGTGATCATAGTGAATTGCATTCTTGCTGGGAGGAAGTCAATGGCAAGCCGGGAGAACCGCTAGCTCGCAGAACGCCATTAGGTTGGACATGTATCGGAGCAGTATTAAACAATGATGATCGACCAACCCGCGCCAACAGCACCTACTGTAGCGTACAGCTGAACCGGCAACGGGAAGTTGATCAAGGCGGTATCAGCCCTGAGCCCTCCTGGCACATGAAGGACCGCAGTGTGAAGCCTGAAGTTGAGCAGTCCATGCGGCAACTCGACGGGGCTGGGAACGAGATTCACCTTCAATGGAATGGCCAGAAATCAAAACTGCCCGACAATTACAGCATGGTATTCAGCAACTGCGTAGAGCCGGGCCCTAGGCTGCAGCGAGAGATACTGGAAGTGCTGCTCGGATTCCGGCGCAACTCGGTAACCATCGTTTGTGATATTCGGGAGATGTACCTTCAGATTCGAAATCACTCCGAGGACCAACCGTACTTGCGTTTCTTGTGGCGACCACCGGAGAGAAATACTCAACCAGACGTTCTTCATCCCGACACGCCACGAGGGCACTGGCCGTTGGGAAGAATTACGGCAGTCTTTCCTGGTCCAGATGGACATGTACGAGTGGCTAAGGTGCTTGTGGGCGGCAAGGAGAAGACACGCCCTATCACGCGACTATGTCCGCTTGGCTTGTGCTAAAGCCCCTGGTGTCACATTGGCTAGGTGACAACAACCAGCCGGAGGCGTTTGTGAAACTGATTTCAAGGAAAGTTTGATTCACTATTTCTTGAATGTGTTTTGTTCATTTGCTGTATTTCTGCTTACAGCTTTTCGGAATAATGCTTTTGTCGCATTGGAAATTTGTTTGTTGAGTTGCGATATGCTTTTCGATGTTACTTTTCAACATATCGGGAAGGGGAGAATGTTCAGGAGGTCGCACGTGTCACTGGCATGCACTCTCGTTTTGTGTTACATGTAGCTGTGACTTTCGTTAGGGTTCACACATTTAAGTCACAGGCTTTGTCTTCACCTTCTTTCGCGCCTGCTGATGGAGTTGTTGGCATGCAAGTGTTATAAGCTAGACGTTTTCACTGCAGTAGTGAGTTGGCTAGAGTAGGCTGTAGTGCTTACGAGTTCGGAGAAAGGTTTCAAGCAATTGCGGCTTGGAGCCAGAGTTTTCTAACAGAGTTCTCTTCATAGTCGCGAGCTGGTCTTTTGTGTGGTTTGGGTGTGAGCCGAGGCAGGAGCACGCCTCTACAGAACAGCTCCTGATCACGATGGTATTATCCATTTTTCTCTACGATGGCTGGAAGTGGGTGAAAACTTGAAAAGAAGGTGCCCAAAATTGTCCCGAAGTACCGAGTGACGTCACGCCGGACTTGACCTCCACGCATACATTCGTCGTGAAAAACGAAGTCCAGCCCGTGTGCGCGTGCTGGTCGACCGAGATCGCGAGCTGGCTGTACATGTTCCAATGTACGGTGCACGTGTGCCTTTTGAACTGTAACACAGATGGGTACGTCGTACCGAAGGAGAATGCCAAAGAGGCAGAGACCAACGTGCAGCTACACAGCCAAATCCAAATAAAAAGCAGAGCTTTCACCTTTTTGACTTCTTCCGCGAGGATCTAAGTTTTATTTTGTGAGCACGGAAGTACGTCGTTGTTTTGAACTTTTCGTGTGAGCTTGAGGAACAACACGATGATGAGTGCGCATGCAGAAAACAGTACTCCTCCGGCCGGCGATAACACCACCAACCCGAGCCCAAAGGAACGCAATGTAGGTACGTGAAGGCGATTCATCTGGCGATGTTGCTGGAGATTCAGAGGACAAACTCCGACGTCTTTCATTTCAGAGCCGGGTGGGCAACACCGCCACCTTCGGCTTCGATACAACTACATCATTTTCTAGCACGAGGTATGTGTGTCACACTAACAGCAAACAAAAATCCTTCCACTCCTTCGTAGTCACAAATAAAACAAAGAGCTGGAGCTTCGTGGAGGAAGTACCAGTGCGACAAACTGCTGTCGACCTTTGTTAATTTTGTCCCTTTTTGCCGTTCTCATTGTGTACAACGTACACAGTACACATCGAGTGTCCGAGTTCAGAAGTGCAAGCGTGCACCGTACATCGAACAGTTGGCTCGATTGACCAGCACACGGGCTGGACTTCGTTTTTGACGATGAATGTACGCGTGGAGGTCAAGTCCGGCGTGACATCACTCGGTACTTCGGGACAATTTTGGGCACCTTCTTTTCAATTTTTCACCCACTTCCAGTCATTGCAGAGAAAAACGAATAACACCATCGTGATCAGGAGCCAAAGAACTACAAGACAAGACAAAGAACATTTTTGGTGACAGTTCCCCTTAACCTACATGCCTGAGTACATGAGTACATCAGTAAAGTCCATCCAGTAAATAGTCAATTTCAGTGTTTCTGCTCCAAACAGCAACTAACTTTGACTAGCTACTAAGATTACATCAAAGGATCAAACAACAAACATTTTCTTCAGTTTTTTCTCCTTGTGCTTGGCCAAGGCCAAAATCACACCTCGGAGGAGTACCAAAATTACAACTCCCAGATGTCCTCGATTGCTGACCAAGCAGCAGGCGCAGCCTCTGCGCCTGCTGTGCACTGGCAGTGGCCCTTAACCTGCTAGAATGCCCAATTCCTATGCTGAGCAGAGTCCAGTGCATATACGCAGGGGGAAGTAGGGATTTCAAGTATGTGTTTTTTGAAAGGATGCAGAGAACTTCAAATTCAAAGGATCAGTCGGGGGAAGTGAACTGCTTAAAGAGAGAAAAAATGGAAACCCTAGTAGGACTCGAAACCCGGGACCTTGCTTGTCATGAACAATACTCTACCATCTGGGCTTTTCAGGCACGTACCCAGGTGGGGAGGGGGGGGGGGGGGTCGCAGGGTTCGGGGAACCCCCTTTCTGTCACTTACTGAACGATTTTTTTCTCGTTTTTTCATCTTTTGTTGCCCTGCGCTGCGCGCGTGCTTCGCACCGTGCTGCCAACGAGTGGTCAAGTTGTAGATTCTACAACTACTTGACGTTTCCATGCACTGTGCCTGCGCTGAAATACGTGACGCGTGCGAGAGTTGGTTGACGTGACGTAGCTATTTACAGGCGTGTTCCCCGTATGGGTTCCTGGGTGCTTCATTTTTTGAAAATTTTCCCGGGGACGCCCCCGGAACCCCCCCCCCTCTTCAAGGGCACCGCCGCACTCGCCTGTATTTACTACAACGGACCCCATGTAACCCCCTCCCGCCAACTCTGGGTATGCGCCTGCTTTTGGACTAGGCCAAACCTAAAATGCACTGGCCAGTATTTCACTCTAAAGGCAGCTCACAGCTTCTAGGTTCGGCCTGGTCATGGCTCAGATGGTTAGAGCATTGCTCATAAAAAAAGCAAGGTCCCAGGTTCGAGTCCTGGTGGGTTTGCCATTTATTCTCTTTTCAGGCAATCTCGTGGCGGGGTGTGTGTGTGGGGGGGGGGGTGGGGGACGACCCGAGCGCCATCAGTATGGTGGAAACGTTCTTAGCGCATTCTAAGTTCGAGCTGGTCCCATAGCTCAGGTGCTTAGAGCATCGCTCATGACAAGCAAGGTCCCGGGTTCGAGTCCTGGTGGGCTTGGCATTTTTTCTCTTTTCAGGCAGTTCACTTCCCCAACTGATCCTTTTGTCGTTACTCAGAGTATCACCAACAAAATCCCTACTTTCCTTTGTGTACATCATGCATAGGACACAGAACGTTTACACACGTGATAATTATGTCTGTCATCAGGGTTCTCATGAGGCCAATCAGAGGATCAAAGTAACCAGGGCTATTTGGTATCATTATATCCTTGAGCTGTGTTACACAATGTCATCCTGAAGCCTCAGGTCTTGTGTGCTATATGGTGAGAGATAGGCAATCAAACATGTGTACCTGAGCAAGCGGAGATTTCCTTTGTCCACATTCCACTTTCCTGGCATGTGATCAGTTGATGGCGTTGTGACCAGTTACCAGAAACATACAGGCCTTCTCTGCATGTGACATTAAGTGAAGTGTTTGCTGAGAAGTTCAGTTTCATCAGATTGATAATTTCTAGGGTGAATGTACTTGCAACAGACACAGCCCACCTTAGTTCACTGGGCAATTTGCAGAAAGCAGGAGGTATTGGTTGATAAGTTGGTTTATCTTTGACATCAGTTTGCACTCTGGCTGCAGCTATTGTAGTGGCTAGAGTGACACGATGTCCAGGACCAACCGAGTTGACAGCAAACACCGTGATCAAAACACTTCTTTTCTCCTTTAGTCCAGTTATGGTGTATTGTGGCATTGCAATGTTGATATCGTTGCTGACTCTCTCCTCAGTATCTTCTCTGAGAACACTAAACTGAATTACGTAGTATAGATTACCACCTGGAGCAAAAAACAAAGGAGAATGAAAAATGATGCGTTGTTTGCAGATATAACTTTGGCTGTACTGAATGCTGTTGAAGAAAGTTGTAATAGTAGGTTGGCAATATTAATGTTGACTGAATATTATAACTTTCTTGTAGACGGGAGGCTTATCAGGAAAAGAAAAAAACTACAAATCTCGAGCTATTCGTCACCATTATCATCAATAGGACTAGGTGCAAACATTATATGGCTTAATTTGTCAAATATAACACAATAATTATATTAATGCTAATATGCACATGTTCTTGAATATGGATCCACCATACATCAGGGGTTATAGACCTACAGATCATGCTCTTGAAAACATTACTCACCGTAAGTTGTTTCTGGTGCTTGCCATCTTGCCTGTAGTACAGAGCTTGATATGGGTATGGCTGTCAAATTCCTTACTGGTCCTGGGGCTGGATTGGAGAAAGAGAAAAGCGAAAGGAAAATAATTCAGTGGAATCTGAAGCAGGTCAACCGCATCAAGAAAATCCGTCACGTCAAAAAATTGCTCCATCTGTGGACAGAACTGTTTTTTCCTTTGTGGACATAAATTTATAATTGTTCACTTGCTGTTTGCGTTATGCAGAGCTCACTGACTTTTCAGTTTGAGCACTCTGGCAAGGTACGTTCGGGCCTGGTTTAAATCTGGCTTTGGAAAATTTATTTTTCATTGCTACCAGGTTCGGCCTCATTTCCTCTGTGCTGCGCTGGTGAGTCCACAAAGGACGAAACATTTCTGTCCGCAGATTGAGTAATAGGGCTTGAAAGTGCTACGTCACAGCATGGCAACAATTTCAAAAATTCAAAACTGGATCCACTTGGATCCATTTTTTGTATGGATCCAAGCACAATCATTTCAAGCGGTCTTACTCACAGCAAGGTGATGTAGCCAGTGAAACTGACTGATTTGGCTAATGGGGGCGGGGTGACAACTGGTGGCAAAATCAAAGTCACACCTGCATGCGACATGAGTGGGTTGCTATGCACCCACATACTTAGGCAATAGACATGGTTAGCATTTTACCATTCACGCTATTATCGGCGGTAGGCTTGCACCGTTTTTTTGTGTGTGTAGACATGGCATTTTACAGTTCACGCGCTAGATCCAACGGTACTCGTACCCCAAACCCAAAATACCGTCGGTTTGGTACCGTTTCGACGATAGAAAGGTCTTTTTAGCGGGAGAACGAAACGGTAAGATTCTTACTAGGGTTACCTCACACGTCTATCGTTGCGTCAGGAGTCAGGACTCAGAAGCCGAACTGCTAACTGTGTCTCGAAAACACATCAAAAACGGTAGACTCGCCCTCTACACGCCGGCCGTCGAAATAGCGTGAACGGTAAAATGCTAACCATGTCTAATAGCAAAGTCACACCTTAGTGGATCCAAAATAGAAATCTGATGTCAATTTACTACTCCCTGGGCGTTTTTGACGTCATCACTTTCAGGTCCTATTGTTCACTTGTATATTTTCACACTTTTCATGTTCAGCATTACCACACTGCATGCATTTTCTAGGATATACTGTGACATTTTCTTACAAATTGTGTGTACATGATGTTTGTGTGTTATAGAATATTCATCTGGCTGTCTGGCTTTAGTTATAAATTATTTCTTGTTTGGCCTCTAAATTTTTATCAATTCCCTGATGACGCCCGATGGGTGAAATATGGGCGAACTTTTTTCATGGGAAAGAAAAAAGACCAAGGAACTACAAGTTACGCTATAATGTACACTAACACCACCAGTTACTAAACAATCAGCTCATGTGATAACATTGCACTACACTGACACACCGTGTCGCACGAGCTGATTGTTTAGTAACTGGTGGTGTTAGTGGACATTATAGCGTGACTTGATTTCTTGGTCCTTTTTTCTATTCTTTAAATTTATCATTGGCTCTTCATCCGAGTCCAATTTTTCATTCATTAATCTTGTGAAGCAGAGAGCAAGTTTGTGAGACGGAGAATGGACGTGTTTTAAAATTACTCAATTTCCTTTTCTTTAAAATATTTATCTATTATTCCCTTGCCTATTACTCCGTACATACCTAGCTTCTGAGTTATGAGCCACCTCCTTGCTTTAACACCAAGACCCACTCCATTAATGGCTGCAGCAGTAATCTGGTATCGTGTAAAATGTCGCAAGCCAGATAGTGAAATCGAGTTGCTGACCCAACCTTTAGTGGCAGAGAGATGGGAAAAAAAGATATGATTCAAGCAAGAAAGAAAGCAAAAAAATAGAATGATGGCAAGAGTAGAAGCCCAAAAATAGAATGAACAAAGCGAAGAACTTCAAGAAAGTAAGTGTGTGCTGCTCTCTTAGACGGAGCTGCCGCCTTTCCCGCTCACTTGGCTAGACAGTGCGAATCAGTTTCATGCATTGAGGTGCCAAACAAGTTCTGAACAGAAATTAATAAATATGATAACATTCAAGCTGGGTACAGTCATGAATGCACCATGTACTCACTTTCATGAACTCGAATAGATCCGTGCAGAGAACAGTTGTAGAGTTGACATTGACAATCTTCTACTTTGCTACACCCAATAGCATCGTAACTAATCTCATACCCAATGAGAGTACCATGGGAAAGAGCAGGTGGCAGTGGCTGCAGGTTTTCAGGATACGAGTCACACACAGACAAAACTGGCATTATTTTCACCAAAGCAGTGAAAGAGGATTAAGTTTGATTTTTAGCGTGCAGCAAAGAATGGAACAGTTTTGTAAAGATATCCACTGTATGCAAAATCATGCGCTCTTTAAAATAGATGGATCTGGTGTCATAGATTTTCTACATATGTTTGCATGGGCTGTTGTTTGTCTGCATGGGCTGTTGTTTGTCTGCATGGGCTGTTGTTTGTCTGCATGGGCTGTTGTTTGTCTGCATGGGCTGTTGTTTGTCTGCATGGGCTGTTGTTTGTCTGCATGGGCTGTTGTTTGTCTGCATGGGCTGTTGTTTGTCTGCATGGGCTGTTGTTTGTCTGCATGGGCTGTTGTTTGTCTGCATGGGCTGTTGTATGTTTGCATGGGCTGTTGTTTGTCTGCATGGGCTGTTGTTTGTCTGCATGGGCTGTTGTTTGTCTGGATGGGCTGTTGTTTGTCTGCGTGGGCTGTTGTTTGTCTGCATGGGCTGTTGTTTGTCTGCATGGGCTGTTGTTTGTCTGCATGGGCTGTTGTTTGTCTGCATGGGCTGTTGTTTGTCTGCATGGGCTGTTGTTTGTCTGCATGGGCTGTTGTTTGTCTGCATGGGCTGTTGTTTGTCTGCATGGGCTGTTGTTTGTCTGCATGGGCTGTTGTTTGTCTGCATGGGCTGTTGTTTGTCTGCATGGGCTGTTGTTTGTCTGCATGGGCTGTTGTTTGTCTGCATGGGCTGTTGTTTGTCTGCATGGGCTGTTGTTTGTCTGGATGGGCTGTTGTTTGTCTGCGTGGGCTGTTGTTTGTCTGCATGGGCTGTTGTTTGTCTGCATGGGCTGTTGTTTGTCTGCATGGGCTGTTGTTTGTCTGCATGGGCTGTTGTTTGTCTGCATGGGCTGTTGTTTGTCTGCATGGGCTGTTGTTTGTCTGCATGGGCTGTTGTTTGTCTGCATGGGCTGTTGTTTGTCTGCATGGGCTGTTGTTTGTCTGCATGGGCTGTTGTTTGTCTGCATGGGCTGTTGTTTGTCTGCATGGGCTGTTGTTTGTCTGCATGGGCTGTTGTTTGTCTGCATGGGCTGTTGTTTGTCTGCATGGGCTGTTGTTTGTCTGCATGGGCTGTTGTTTGTCTGCATGGGCTGTTGTTTGTCTGCATGGGCTGTTGTTTGTCTGCATGGGCTGTTGTTTGTCTGCATGGGCTGTTGTTTGTCTGCATGGGCTGTTGTTTGTCTGCATGGGCTGTTGTTTGTCTGCATGGGCTGTTGTTTGTCTGCATGGACTATTGTTTGTCTGCATGGGCTGTTGTTTGTCTGCATGGACTGTTGTTTGTCTGCATGGGCTGTTGTTTGTCTGCATGGGCTGTTGTTTGTCTGCATGGGCTGTTGTTGTTTGTCTGGATGAGCTGTTGTTTGTCTGCATGGGCTGTTGTTTGTCTGCATGGGCTGTTGTTTGTCTGCATGGGCTGTTGTTTGTCTGCATGGGCTGTTGTTTGTCTGCATGGACTGTTGTTTGTCTGCATGGGCTGTTGTTTGTCTGCATGGGCTGTTGTTTGTCTGCATGGGCTGTTGTTTGTTTGCATGGGCTGTTGTTTGTCTGCATGGGCTGTTGTTTGTCTGCATGGGCTGTTGTTTGTCTGCATGGGCTGTTGTTTGTCTGCATGGGCTGTTGTTTGTTTGCATGGGCTGTTGTTTGTCTGCATGGGCTGTTGTTTGTCTGCATGGGCTGTTGTTTTTCTGCATGGGCTGTTGTTTGGCTGGAAACTGTCTCTTCGTATACGCTCTTCAATCATTTTGTAATCCTTATGGTTTCGTTTTTGTCTGCTATTGGTCAAATCTACTTAGCAACTAGCTATCTGTAATCTGATTGGTTGGCCTTTCCCGTCTTGGCTTGACACTGTGTCATTTTCAACAATAATAATTATATCGTATATAACTCCTGCTGCTTTCGAAGTAAAGTTACACTCAACCTGCTATCTCAACTCAGATCACTGATTGAATAGCAGAACTCTCCAAACCTTCTCGATCATCTCGATCAAGGTGAACGTATGGAACTGGATGGATACTTAGATCAATTGTATAGCTTGATGACCTGGTTGGGTTATTACGCAATATAAGGGGCATCGGACACACTGTGGTATTGACTGTACCACTTTTTACCCCAGGTACTCCGTGAGTCTAGAAAACACACTCTTCTGGGCTCCAGCATTTCCAAATGTTTCGCTCAGCCACCCCTCCCACACAAGTTAATTGTACTTCAGATGGCTGACCGTACCACACTAAAATACTTTCCGACGCCCCTGAATTATATGAATGTTTATGTTGTGGCCACAAGATTGACAGTTTCCTCTGAGACAAAAATGCGATAATACTCATAAAAAGGACACACTTCAGGCTCATTACAAACATCTTGAAAGTTTTTGTCTTCACAAGTATACTTTCAAGCCTTCTCATCAGGTGAAACACAGGCAAGGGAAAAGGAACAGGAACAGTGGATTAAATACAGTAAGAAGGTGGTAAAACAGCGCAAAAAGAAAGAAAGAAAGAAAGAAAGAAAGAAGATAGCTAAAGTAATCAGCGAAAATTGTAATAATGACAGAAAGGTGCAAATGCGAGAAAACTCAATAAGCGCGACATGTAGTGCGACAACAAGAGACAACCACTGGACATACATGTAACTAACGAGGTTTTGACGACCTACCCAACAGCCTAAGTGTGAATTTGATTTGTTTCTGCTTGCAAAGGTTGGGTTTCCTTGTGTGGATGTATACAGCTTCCAAAACATTCAGCAATCTAGCACTGCGTACACGTGACACAATCGAAAAACAATCATCCGAATACACAGCACGACAATCAGGATGCTCAAACAAATGACTAGCAATGGACGACTCATACTTATCAGAACTAACATCAGAACAATCAGCATGTGCGGTGGACACATCCGATTTCACATGGCTAGTCGAGTGGACCCTAGCCGTTGCCTCTGTCTGTGCTTTAGTCGCTGCCATCGCCGCCGTTGCCGATCTTGTTATTCTTCTGGTTGATGCGATTCCTGTCACTGCCACGCACGTAGGTGTCTTGTCCGGTTGTTTTTCTGGTAGTCTAGTTAATTGTGAGGTGACGTTCCTTGGTGTTGATGCCGCTGCGTTGGACCATCTTGTACCAGGATGATTCTTTGCTGGACGTCCCCTCCGTGGTCGAGTGGATCGTGCGTGTTGTGGAATAAGGTGTAGCGGTGCGTGTTGTCGGATGCGTGCGTCCAGATGTTGAAGAGTCCTACCTACATATCGGCTCTCACATTGCCGACACTCGAAGTGATAAATCAACTTGGATAATTGGCCTGTAGGTAGGACGTCCTTCCTCACCGTGAACGCACGCACCGTGGAGTAGATGAAGCGAATATGAACATTATGGTAATTGGACTCCACGGCAGACTTAACCCGACGCTGAACCATACGTGATACTGACTCGCCCTTCCACGGTAAACATAGGTATACTGGATTAGTGGAAACTTCAGCATTCTTCTTTGGACTGGTCTCAGTTACATACTTCACAATAACAGACTCGGGGTATCCCCCAGTATAAGATTTCTCGCTGGCTGTGTAGAATGTTGCAACCCGTTTTAGAATTATACAGTCGGTATGTAGTTCGCGATAGTTTTCAATTTGTCGATATTCTGCGCGACCACTCCTTCCCCAATACCTATGTTATGTGCTCTTACGATGTTGTTAGTCTGTTCACAAATGTCCCTTTGGATAAAGTCATTGATATTTGCTGCGAAACGCTATATCATCGCTCACTATGTCCGCCTGGCGAGTTACGTGAAGATTCGTTCCGCGAAATGATCCGCTTGGTAACGTCAGGTGTGGAGTTTTCCTTTGATGGTGTCATGTATCGACAGATTGATGGTGTTGCTATGGGTTCGCCCCTTGGTCCTGTTTTGGCAAATATATTTGTTGGTTATTACGAATGTCAGATTCCGGTTAGTTTGATGCCCCCATTGTATGTGAGATTTGTCGATGATTCTTTCTCGTATTTTCAGTCTGAGGCTCAGTGCCTCCAATTTCGTGATCTGCTGAGGAAGGTTGTTGATGGTATGTTGGATTTCACGTGTGAATTTGAGGAGTCAGATCGTCTACCTTTTCTTGATGTGCTCGTTGAGAAGTCAATTGATGGTGGTGTTGTCACGTCGGTCTATCGCAAGCCTACGTTCACTGGCTTGTACATTGTTTGGGATTCGTTTTGCGCGACACTGTATAAGATCAATTTGTTGCGTAATTTCGTGGATCGTGCACGTCGCCTTTGTTCGTCTTCAAGGTTGGAGCAGGAGTTGGAGAAGTTACGTGCGCTTTTTCGTCTCAATGGATACCCCGAGTCTGTTATTGTGAAGTATGTAACTGAGACCAGTCCAAAGAAGAATGCTGAAGTTTCCACTAATCCAGTATACCTATGTTTACCGTGGAAGGGCGAGTCAGTATCACGTATGGTTCAGCGTCGGGTTAAGTCTGCCGTGGAGTCCAATTACCATAATGTTCATATTCGCTTCATCTACTCCACGGTGCGTGCGTTCACGGTGAGGAAGGACGTCCTACCTACAGGCCAATTATCCAAGTTGATTTATCACTTCGAGTGTCGGCAATGTGAGAGCCGATATGTAGGTAGGACTCTTCAACATCTGGACGCACGCATCCGACAACACGCACCGCTACACCTTATTCCACAACACGCACGATCCACTCGACCACGGAGGGGACGTCCAGCAAAGAATCATCCTGGTACAAGATGGTCCAACGCAGCGGCATCAACACCAAGGAACGTCACCTCACAATTAACTAGACCACCAGAAAAACAACCGGACAAGACACCTACGTGCGTGGCAGTGACAGGAACCGCATCAACCAGAAGAATAACAAGATCGGCAACGGCGGCGATGGCAGCGACTAAAGCACAGACAGAGGCAACGGCTAGGGTCCACTCGACTAGCCATGTGAAATCGGATGTGTCCACCGCACATGCTGATTGTTCTGATGTTAGTTCTGATAAGTATGAGTCGTCCATTGCTAGTCATTTGTTTGAGCATCCTGATTGTCGTGCTGTGTATTCGGATGATTGTTTTTCGATTGTGTCACGTGTACGCAGTGCTAGATTGCTGAATGTTTTGGAAGCTGTATACATCCACACAAGGAAACCCAACCTTTGCAAGCAGAAACAAATCAAATTCACACTTAGGCTGTTAGGTAGGTCGTCAAAACCTCGTTAGTTACATGTATGTCCAGTGGTTGTCTCTTGTTGTCGCACTACATGTCGCGCTTATTGAGTTTTCTCGCATTTGCACCTTTGTGTCATTATTGCAATTTTCGCTGTTTACTTTAGCTATCTTCTTTCTTTCTTTCTTTCTTTCTTTTTGCGCTGTTTTACCACCTTCTTACTGTATTTAATCCACTGTTCCTGTTCCTTTTCCCTTGCCTGTATTTCACCTGATGAGAAGGCTTGAAAGTATACTTGTGAAGACAAAAACTTTCAAGATGTTTGTAATGAGCCTGAAGTGTGTCCTTTTTATGAGTATTATTGCCACAAGATTGGTATTTATATATGTCCGGCATGACACCTGTATATCAATTAGCGCCTGGAGCATAGGCGATGGAACAGCAACGACTAGGCTCGGATTGCGTTTCATCCCTCCAGAACTCACCAGGCAATCTCGTATTTCAGGAGTGATGTTACTAGCATGAAGATTACTACCAGAACCAGAAATTAAGCTCTTGCTTTACTTCTATATCAGCAATCTACTTCCTCCGTATACAAAAACTTCGTGACTTTTTTTGAAGGCCTCGCACAGCTCTGGAATTTTCCGTTTGATTTGGAATAACATCTGTGGCATTGTCTAAACTGTTTACAAGCTATATACAAAGAAAAACGCAACTCAGACGAAAGAGATTGAGCTTATTTAGAATCTTCGTCGCTGTCACCTGACGACGCTGACGCTGCATCGCCAACAGTCGCTGCTTCCGCTCGCATTTCGTTTAGATTCTTTTCAGCTGCAGTGATGATCCGACGAGGGACTTTGGCTACGTCCTCTTCATCTCCAGAGCTGTGTACGAATCGGTGTCAACTGCATTCAGTCGTTCTAACCCGCGACCTTCATTATGTCGTGAAACGAGTCGCTCAAGCACATCCACACGCTTCGCATTTTCTCGGCAGGATAATCCTCCCAGCATTCTACAACGGCTTCGAGGAGGTCCCTAGACGACGTTTGACTGGAGAGAGGCGAAGAAAGCCAGGTCGTCGATAATCCGATCCGGAGTCAGCGGTGGTTGCACGACGACTGAAATTTTTCATCTTGCCGTGCGAGAGGAACCGATTTATGTTCTCACGTTGCATATGGGGCCGCGCACCGCAAGTACGAGCCTGGCCAGTTTCATGGCAGGTAGTTTTGACTCGTGAGTTCCTGTCGGCAACGTCCTCACACGCATGGCTTCCGTGGAGAATCTGTTCGGGATCAACCAAACCTACCTCAACAATGAATGTGGGTGTCGATGACAGCCTTTGGCGCGGTTCGTTGAGCAGGTTCTTGCTCAAAAACACCGTTGAAAAAAAGCCACGAAGTTTTTGTATACGGAGGAAGTATGACTTGCAGATAGAACCCACTGTCACTATCCAAGGTGTTGCACACAATTTGCCTGATACATTCTTCACCGAATGCCTCAGTGTACTGTGAACTGCCTAGATCTTGCTTTCAATCTGTTTATGTTAGTATGGACTTTGACCTGGTGATTATACACACTATGTAGGAGTACAACATTCTAAAGTGATGCACTGTGGATGAGGTGTGAGCGCAAGGGGGAATTCCCTAACCTTGAACCCTATCGTTGCATGACCTGGTGATGTTGAGACAGCAGTGAGGCCTTGGGGCGCCGCAGACCCTGCAAGTTAGGGATAAAAATTCAGGAAACACAGAAACACAGTAGGTCTCTCTCTGACACTGTCCACTTTTTCCAGCGCATAGTTTTGGCAACAAAGCCATGGCAGTCTGTCAGGTATACTGGGTCTGCAGCACAGGGATGACCATGTTGTCTCGCCAGTACCATTGGCTGTCTCTGCACTCTCCTGCTTCATTCCCATCCATCATGAAAATGGGAACGACTGTGTTGATTGCCTGATAATTCACTATCATGCAAACTTCCAAAACCAAAAGCTGGTTAAGGGCATGTCCTACTTTGAAGTACATTAAAAGTGGTCAACAAGATCTGAAGGGATTGCTCAGAAAATCTCACTCAATACTAGATCACTAAATTAATATTGGTACACCGTATGCTTTTCTTCATCGTTGTACTTTTGTTGTACTGTTTCACCCTAAGGATGAGTTATTCCCAGCAATTTGGCGACTCGGTATTGAATGGCAAAGAGCCCAATATGTGATTGAGCGTTCAGAATAATGAATGTTAAAGTGGCAGGAATATAGTTTGGGGATCCTTTAAAAGGGTCGGGATCCTCTTAAAAGGGTTGTGTGGTTGACTTAAAGGGGAAGTTAAGGCAAAAATTAAAATTTCACCAGTTGTAGTCGTCGGGGTGCTGAGTCGAATGGTCGTGGTCCGAGGAAGCTGAGATGCTCCCTTCCTCCTTGAATCCCAATCGAACTCGCGCACTTCCACCGAAACTGGGTGACTGCGCCCTACTAGATGGGGATTTGTATGCAAAATGTCACTAAAAGCGCCATTTCGTTCTTATAAAAGCACGGATGACCGCGATTGACCCATATGTTGTAGTCTTTTGGACGCTGAGTCGACTGGTTTTGGTCTGAAAAGGCTGCGATGCAGCGTTCCTCCTTTATTCCCTATCGAACATGGTTGAACAAGTGGTCACGTGGTCCTGGGTGCCCAAATCACCTGGTCACCACGCCAGCAGGTGACAACTTTCACACCAAGGTTCAACTCGAGTTCAACTCGAGTGACAGGACTGCACCCAAAAAAGGTCAAACAGGCTAGTTAGTTGTACCCTGCAGGCACGGTGACCAGGTGACTGGTGTACGCAGGAGCACGTGACCGCTTGTTCAACCATGTTCGATTGGGAATAAAGGAGGAACGCCGCATCGCAGCCCTTTCGGACCAAAACCAGTCGACTCAGCGTCCAAAAGACTACAACATATGGGCCAATCGCGGTCATCCGTGCTTTTATAAGAACGAAATGGCGCTTTTAGTTACATTTTGCATACAAATCCCCATCTAGTAGGGCGCAGTCACCCAGTTTCGGTGGAAGTACGCGAGTTCGATTGGGATTCAAGTAGGAAGGGAGCGTCTCAGCTTCCTCGGACCAAGACCATTCGACTCAGCACCCCGAAGACTACAACTGGTGAAATTTTGATTTTTGCCTTAACTTCCCCTTTAAAACAAAGACAGGACAGATCCCACCAGCATTACGTTGACACTTACACTCACACATAGTCAAAAGTTGGACTGGATAGGAACAGCAGGAGAACTATGATTCTTCTATCTCTGAAGAAATGATCATGATTTAAATACTGAATGATTGACGCACGTTATAAAATGTAGTACGAACTTACGTGATTCGGGAGTCTCCAGTCTTAGTCTGGGACTTGGACCACTTGGACCAGCTGCATTTTCTGCATGATACCAGCAGGTATATTTGGTGGCTGGTTGGAGTCCAAAAAATGTGACAGTATTGAGTGGAACACTTTGAACAGTGTCCTTCACATAAGATCTGTACTCTGCATCTGGTTTACAAATGACTTTGTAACTTTTGACGGGTAGATTTCCTTTGTGTGACGGTGATTGAAGATTAAGAGTGACCGAAGTTGCTCTTAGTGAATTCTGGACGATCCGTGCCGGTCTAGGGGAAATAAGAAACCTGGGAATATCTGTCAATGAAAGAAATAATCAAGAAGAGTGTTTCATTGGCAGAGGAGCGCTCAATGCCCATAGAAGGCAGGTCATGTGTTTTGGAGTTACAGGTATTTCCAATGTGAAGAAGAGGTTGGTGCGACTTCGGCGATAGTAGGGGAAGAATTCAAGTCAGCAGGAAAACCGCGAGCTCCCATATATGGAGCAACACACTCTTCCCCTACTATCACCAAAGTCACACCAACCTCTTCTTCACATTATTGTCCCCAGCGCGGGCTTGCAAATTAGATGGTTTGGAGGCAACAACGTTGTGAATGGCCAACGGTCCTCAGCGCTTGTTCATCACCTCCATGAGCGACACTGACTCACGCGGCTATATGGTGTTCACGTGGTGTTTGTCGCTCTGGAAATGGAGTGTCTCTGCAAGTTTGTATCCCGATGTTTGTGCCTGGAAAGCACTATATAAGTGGTGCTCTTCAGGCACAATCTTCCTCAGCCTACTCAAGCTCAATTAATGAGGGGTGAATTCCTTGAAACACTGTGTATAGAGCAGGGAGTGGTGCTTTCTTGCAGGTTTGCCGAGTGGACGGTTCCATGGACTTCTCGTGTGCTCTGGACTGATGGCAGTTGTAAGTCAGTCAAGTGAGAATTCAAGTCGGCAGGAAAACCGCGAGCTCCCATGTAGGGATCAACACAGGCATTTCCAAGGTACTGATCAACCAGATGAACGAGGTATGAGTGTACTAACATTTCCTTTTATTCACTTCAAGCAGTAGTAAATAAAAGGGGTTTGTCAACTGGCAACTGGCAACCAGGTCTATTGAGTTGCTATTCACTCTTGGCGCATGCCCTGGATTAAAGGGGAACTGAAGGCTAAAATCGAACTTTCCCCAGTTGTAGTCTTCGGGGTGCTGAGTCGAATGGTCGTGGTCCGAGGAAGCTGAGACGCTCCCTTCCTCCTTTAATCCCGATCGAACTCGCGCACTTCCACCGAAACTGGGTGACTGCGCCCTACTAGATGGGGATTTGTATGCAAAATGTCACTAAAAGCCCCATTTCGTTCTTATAAAAGCACAGATGACCACGATTGGCCCATATGTTGTAGTCTTTTGGACGCTCAGTCCACTGGTTTTGGTCCGATAAGGCTGCGATGCAGCGTTCCTCCTATATTATTCCAAATCGAACATGGTTGAACAAGCGGTCACCTGCTCCTTCGTACACCAGTCACCTGGTCACCGTGCCTGCAGGGTACAACTAACTAGCCTGTTTGACCTTTTTTGGGTGCAGTCCTGTCACTCGAGTTGAACTCGAGTTGAACCTTGGTGTGAAAGTTGTCACCTGCTGGCGTGGTGACCAGGTGATTTGGGCACCCAGGAGCACGTGACCGCTTGTTCAACCATGTTCGACTGGGAATAAAGGAGGAACGCTGCATCCCAGCCTTTTCGCTCGAATGAGACCTGAAGCGGCATCGAGTTGATGTTTGTGCAGTCCAAGAAACAAACATTTGTGAAGCAAACTGTTCCGTGTTACCGCTGGGGTACCGGCTCAGAACGTTCGCTCAGGACCATGGATATCAGCGAGGAGTAGGCATTGTCGTCGCTCCTCGTCTGGACCCGTTCCTGTCAAGATACTGGAGCTTAGGTGAGAGAATTGGTGTTGCGGAATTTGTTTTCACTAGCTACAAAAATAATAGAAAATGTAAACCAACTCACAACACGGTACGTGTCATAAGTGCATACGGCCCTACCGCTGTTTCCTGTGAAGAGAACCCATCGCTGAGAGAGGAGTTTTACAGCGCCTTGTCGACTGTATGGAAAGATACAACGAGAAGCGGAGTTCTATGCTTCATCGCTGGAGACTTCAACAGCAAAGTTGGAATTCGTACGGGAGCTGATGAAAGTAAATGGCTAGGCTCCTTCAGCAGAGGCACCAGAAATGATAACACCTGTTAGAATGGTCAATTGAAAATGATGCCTTCTTGGCCAATACAGCTTTTCAACGCCGCCAGAGCCACCGCACTACATGGACGGGTTGGCGGTGCCCCGGGAGTGGAGAAGTTGGCCCACAACCTGTCTACAACCAGATCGATTTTGTTCTTTGCCGTACGCAACACAAGCCACTGCTGTGTAATGCACGTAGCTATTTTTGCTGTGAGTCACTAACGGACCACAGAATAGTCATTGCCACGCTGCAGCTTCGTGCGTTATTTACAATCTGGCGGAATGGAAACCAGACAATTCAGCGTAGCTTCAACACCTCGATGTTTACTCAGAACCCCCAGGTCTGTAGTCAATTGCAGGAGGAGGTAGACAAAGCACTGGCAACGCAGCAAACACAGCAGGGAACTGGTTCAGCTGTGGCACGTTTCAGAGGTGTGAGGGACGCACTGGAGCCGGCTGCAGGAAAAACAGTTGGATATAAAAAGAGAGCCGAATGTAGCCGAAAAGCCCATGATCCTGGCATAGCCCTTCTATCAGCCCAACAAAAAGAACTGCGGATAAAAAATCGACTCGACAAAATGCCCAGACGGGAGGAAATCACTGAAACGCGATCGGAATCAGATATTACACCAGATACGAGATATCGCCCGGAACAACTCTGAAGCCCGCCTGGACTCCTTCGCTCAAGAAGTAGAGAAGCTGAAAAACAATGCAAGGGTCTTTCAAGCAGCCACTTTGCTGCGGCGGCAGTCTCCCGTGCCATTGGTTGTTCATGATGCCCTTGGATGGATAATCGCCAACGATAAAGAAGCGGCAGAGAAGGTAGCTAACCACTTCAGGCAGCAGTTTCGGGATCCATCTGCGGTAGATGATATTCTGAGACCGCTGGGCTCGAAGTATCTTGAAGATAGGATCAGTGCTGCGGAGGTTGCCCTAGAAATTAGATTACTCAAATCGCAGAGGGCAGCTGGGCCAGATGGCATCCCCGAGGAACTGTTCAAGCATGCTGGTGAGAGGGTCGCACATGAGATCGCTGCCATTCTAAACCAATGTTTTGCGGATGGCAGTGGAATGGATCGTGGATGTGAAACACTAATCCCGTTCCCGCAACCAGGGAAATCCAGAGGGCCGCTAACCAGTATCAGGCCAACAATACTCTTGAACTCTATACGCAAATGCCTGTCAACAATCACACTTCGCAGGATTATGCCAAAGATGGACTCCTTCCTATCTCCAACCCAGAGCGCTTCCCGTCCGGGTCGGAGTACCGTGGATATTGTCTGGTGTGGCCGGTGGCTGGCAGCCAAGGCTGAACGATTCAAGTGGCAATGTACGGTCCTCGGAATGGATATGAGCAAGGCGTTTGACACAGTGCAGCGGGGAAGATTGGTGGAGGTAATGAAACAAAATAATAGTTAACACAGATGAGGTACGAATGGTGGAGATGTTGTTGCACAACACAAGTCTAAGAGTGAAGATAAAGAATGCGCTCTCGGCAGAATTTCCAACATCAATAGGCATCCCGCAAGGAGATAGTTTGTCGCCGGTGCTATTCACTTGTCATCTCGAAGCGACAATGCGCTGCCTGCGTCCCAGGATATTGCCAAGACCTGCCAAGACCTGCCATACTGAATATTGGAGGGACAGCCTGCACGACTGTCAATATGTCCATACCTTGCGAAACGGCATACATGGACGACGTTAACCTGTACTCCACGGACCGTCAACATTTAGCATGCGCACTAACAGAGGCAGAGGTAGTGGTCAAAGAGGGGAACCTCAACATCAACCCTACCAACACCGAGTGGACCCATCTATACCAAGAAGAGGATGTTGCAAGAAGAGGTGAGGAACGATGGAGGTCCACCCGGTTGCTTGGTTCACTGTACAGAGTACCAGAAGACCTCAAACGCTGGCGCCAGCAAGCCGCAGCTGCCTTCAACACACTTGTCAACCTGTGGATGCGGAGACAAGTTATCTCTGAAGCAACCCACCTGAGGTTGTTTGATGCATTTGTGCTATCTATTTTGACCTACAACTGTGGCGTGTGGATGCTTTCATCCCGGGATGCTACAGCAATGGATACGTTCCACAGAAAGCAGCCCCGCCGTCTTTTAGGGATATCTTACCCGGAAACTATCTCCAACACAGACCTATATACCCGCTGCAATGCCGAGCCAATACCCGTACTAAGCCGAAGCGCACGGTGGAAACTGTTTGGTCATATTCTACGCCTCCCTGAAGCAACTCCAGCACAGGTGAGCATGACAGCGTATTTCCAGTGACAGAATCGGGGCTGGCTCGGACGCCCGCGCATCACCCTGCCAGTGGTGATAGACAACGAATTAGCCAAGGCAACGTCCATGCGTCTCCGGAGTCTGAAGGACCTGGAGACACTGCGATTGGTGGCTCGGAACAGGCAATCATTTAACGATAAAATCGCACAGGTCACATTGTAGAGTGCAGATCACCTAGTGCTTTCAACAATAATTGATCCAGCGCACGCAAAAAGGGTGCTTAGGTCACTGCACACTGAACTGAGAAAAACGCGTTTGAAGTTGCACTTCAAATTTTCACGACTTCGATCAACTTCCGCAGATTTCAAGCGGGCTTACACTAGTAAGCTGGCGATTCCGTGTGATTTCGTTTAGCTTCCGCGATAGCCATCACAATCAGCTGTCATGTACTTTTCACAAATCAAAAATCGGCCCACGCATCGTCGTGCAACATTGATTTTCACGGACGGGTGCATGCTCTCGATCAGCGCTTGTTCATCGCACCTTGAAGTTAGTTTGAGTTTGATTCTCCTTCGATGCGCTGCAAGCCTTGTCTTCAACATGGCCAGTCGTCGTTGGTTCACGGTGGATGAGACACTAGCTGCTGTACTTGCTGGTGACGGTGAAGAATTTACTGGCGCTGCTGCTGATGTCGGCAGCAGCGGCTATGATCACGGTTCGCCAGGTGGCAACGAAGAGTTTTGCGATGCTGATGAGGGAGAGGATGATGGCGAGAATTTTGAGCTCTTCCTGGACAGAGCTGACAACTTGACAGGTTAAGCTGCTGATTTTCTGGACCTGAACCTGGATGCTGAAGAAGCTGTTGTTGAAGAGGCACAGCAAGGAGATGCTCAGCCTCAAGCCGCTGCTGCAGCTGCTGTAAAAGATGGTTGCAAACAGAATTGTTTGGAGAAATTTAGTGCTGCTGACATTCAAGCGTCCATTCTTTCGATGCAAGAGCTTGAGACACCGGCGAGCGATATTTTTTCATTCTTGGGCTTTTGTCGTCCTCTGCGCAGCACACTGCCCACACTGACCAGCCTGGGAAGAGGAAAAGACGAAAATTTGTGTACTCGTTTCAAAGTCTGCCGGTGTGCGTCACCGCGTTCCGTCATGTTTGTTTGTTTGTTTAGCTTTATTTTACTTCACCAGAAGCACAGGCAAAATCTGCCTTCTCACTGGGCGTATTGCCACATGTATTCAACATCGGCACAAAGCGCATGGACAACTTTCGCAAGCACTTTTAGGAGCATGGTATAGAGCCCAGGACACATGGCAATACTCATCACTGTTCTCACAATGCCCTCCATTTCGCCGATGTAAAACGATGTGTGGAATTTATGTCAGTGTTCGCTCAGGACTTCGGTATACCACATCCAGCGCCGTTACGAAATCCGCCTCTATGTAGCTGATCAGTGGCAGGATGAAGTTTGCCCAGCACCACCACCACTGTGAACTTAGATTTTCTCTCTCAATTCATAGCCAGCAATCGCATGTCATCACGTACATTGAAAATCAACATAATTTTGCGAATCGATATTTTTTTCAGGATCACTTTTCAACGAGGACGAAGCAAAGTCGGCCGAACGAAGCCTAGAGGAAGAAAATCACCCTCTCCACTTCACCATCACGATACTGACATAGATACGAGATGAAACAACTAAAAAACCCACAAGAAAACTGTACGACCATCATCGCGCTGACTTTGGTCTGACTTTGGCCTGAGAATTTCTATCACGATCAAAAATGTACGAGGAGCACTCAAAAATCAGCCACAGACGTACCTTTATCGCTCTCTACTCCTTTTTCAAGACACAAAAGTCGACTCTCCACTTTCAAACCAGGAACCAGACATACCAGTGGTCCTTTTCAGCTGCTCCACGAGCGCAGGAAATGTTCACCAAGGGGCGCAGAGCAGCATCCATTCCAGAAAAAGAGCTAAAATACGAGTGAGACTGCATGCCTGAGTACATGAGTACATGTATGAGTACATGCAGAAAATAGTCAATTTCAGCGTTTCTGCTCCAAACAGCAACTAGCTTCGACTAGAAACAAAGATTACACCAAAGGATCAAACAACAACCATTTTCTGCAGTTTTTTTGCAGATGGCTTCCTTGTGCTTGGCCCAGCACGCCAAAAATCACACCTCGGAGGAGTACAAAAATTACAACTCTCAGATGTCCTCGATTGCTGGCCATGAATCAGATTTGATCTCTGAAATTTAATCTCCCTTTTTCTCTTTATACTACATATAATTTACTGACTGTGTACCACCACTGCATGTGACTGCATGTGTATCATGCATTGCTGGATTTGCCTTTTGCAGCTCATTGATATTCTGGCCGGGACTAGCAGGTCCTCACTAATGATGTCGTAAACACCACCAATTGTGTGAAGTGTTGGTCTAGAGATGTTTCTTACCTGATGCTTACATGGCTCTCTTTGGTGCTAGATGGCAAACTATGACAAAATACTGTCCAGAATGCTTCTCCGTTACATCTGTTGCAACTAGCAATCCTGGCGATCGCCCGGGGAATTTGCCGTCTTACCGTATGCGCGCTCGAGAGCTGGCTGGAAAAACTCACTGTGAACTCGAAGAAATAATCCGCGTGAAAGCATGAAAACTGACAACTAACTCAAGTCGGTTAATGTACGTCTGGTTTACAATAACGAGTTCTTCCTTGTATCGATAGAGAGGACATGTCGAATGTGTGGTAAATGTTGACAAGCGGGATGGGTCCCAATTCGTTTCGTGCCCAAAATTTCTTTGAGCTGCGATGGAATTATTTACTCTCACGATGTGACGAAAACGACATCGACACAGACTCATTTCCAAGGCCATGACTTGGCAAAGCTATCCGTGTGACTTCGACGACATTTTGAGAAGAGCAGACGGCTGTGAAAGCTGATAGAAGACGGCGATGACTCCTAAATTCAAATAAATTGGCGATCTTGAAATACTACTTGTAAAATAATTCTCAAAAAACAAATCGATCGATCGATGTGCCATTGTATTCAACAACACGTAGCTACAGCGCAATGACTTCCGTGTTCGCTCACACGGTTTCAGTGTTGGTGTGTTCACATGGCGTGAACCAGTCAAGTGTCAGTAAGTAATTATTAGTTCGGCAGGAAACGCAAGCTCCAACAACAATACAAGTCGCAGCCAACTTTCTTGGCTTGTATTTTTGTACATCTACCAGCGTGATCACCAAAATGAAAAATAGTTTGACTTGAAGATATAACTCGGATGGTGAGCCAATTAAATAATAGTGAAAAGAAGAAGGACAAAATGTTACGAGTTATGACTAACTGTCCACCAACGTAACCAGATCTTATAACTCATAACATTTTGTCCTTCTTTTTTTCACGACTTGAAGATAGTTTGGGATATGAACTCACAACTTCATGGTCAGCAGACAGCATTCATAACCACAAGGCAAAAAAGGAAAGGATAAATCGTGCGTTTGGATAAAAAAAATCGATACTGGCTTCCAGGGCAAATTGTAAACCATGGGAAAAGGCCGGAAACCTGGCCGAAATTCTTACTCCTTAACGGCTAGTCCAATTGTTCTGAAACCTTCACAGAACAATTTGCCGTGTCCTAACAAGCCATTCTATGTACTTTGTTGTCCAAATTTCCAATATCTTCATACTTTTTAAGACCAAAACCTGATTGTAAATCTTTTTGAAATGGACTGTAAGTAAGTAAATTCGTATGTCTGGTGATGGTTTCGCCTGGAGAGCAGTATATAAGTGGTGCTTTTCAGGCACAATCTTCCTCAGCCTACTCAAGCTCAACTGATGAGGGGTGCATTCCCTGAAACACTGCGTATTGAGCAGGGAGCGGTGCTTTCTTTCAGCTTTGCCGAGCGGAAGGTGCGACGTGCTCCTCGTGTGGTCTGTAAGGAAGTCGTGAGTCAGTCAAGTGTCAAGCTCGGCAAGAAGCGTGCTCCTTGTTGGAGCAATCAACTTCATGACATTTCTATTAGTTCGAACAACATACATGACAACCTAGGTAAAAAAAAGCATAGCGAGGGCTCCTTGGCTTTTGAAGCCCTCTCGTTGCAAATGACGGCTAGAAACTGTCGCTAGGGAGCTCCCTGTGGCTGAAGGTCTTCTAAAACCCCAAGAATGCTGGCCAATTTCACCCAAGGGAAACTAATGTTATCATCAAAATTGGTCACAAGGTACCACTGAGACTGCGGTAAATTAACATGTTGCTTCCTCCCCCACAGAAAAAAGCAAGAGAGCTTGTAAGTTCAGGGACCTCGCCATGATTCTTTGCCTAGGTCAACATGCATGTTATTCGAACTGCTGGAAAGGTTTTTGCAATATAATGATAAAAATATAAATACCCCCACCCTCCCCATTTCTTTCCGTAACACAGGATAACCATGAATTACATGACATTGTATTTCTTGGCTTGGCCTAACATGGGATTCGAACTGCACTATCGCCCAGCATGCATTTCCCCGATACACTTCGCATACATACGCATGGTTCCAATTTGCTTCCCGTTATGATCTTGCAGTTGAAACCACTGTTTAATTATGGTGGCCAGCTGTCTTTTACAATGATAAAATAAATATCCGCCCCTCCCCATTTTTCTCTGAAAAAAATGGGTAGTCATGAAGTATATTCTTTGGCTTGGACTAAGATGGGATTCAAACCCACACTATCGCCCTGCATGCATTTCCCCGATACACTTCGCATCATACACGTTATTCCAAGCTGCTGCTCGTTATGATCTTGCAGTTGAAAGCCCTTGAATAAGGTGGTCAGCTATCTTTGATGGTACGGTACGGGGCGTATACGAGATAGTGCCAGGCATGCTGTCGTCAGCCACAAACAAATACCGAATTAAAGCTGTGTGGACCCTGGCTAGCGCCAGATGTTACTTAAGTAACGTCTTTTGCCTAGCTACTGGAGTACATGAAAAAACATTATTATTCTGAAAGTGTACCTTGTACTAGGATGGTCAGTTGTTTTGAAGCAGTTCCAAAGGGTGTTGATACTGTACAAGTATATATCCCTGAGTCGTCCACACTTAGGTAATCACCAAGCTTACGTGTCCAACCATTTGCATCATTATATGCTGGTAGTATTCTTCCATTCTTAGTCCATGTCATATTCAATGGTCCCGTGCCATTTGCTCTGCACACCAAGGCAATTGATCCAACCTGCCATGATGTTGACACGATAGTCATGGATCCACTGATGAAGGCAATGTATGGTTTTTCTATAACAAACGCAAACAGGGAGGAAGCAAGGAACCTTCACCACTACAGACTGTCCTCGTATAACAAGAACAATGGGCAGGTGTAGGGATAGGTGGGGTGGTAGAAGCGGGAATGTCACATGTGAAATAGCTAAAAGAAATTGACAAGGTGTGCTTGAACGAAAAGAAGTACAGAGAATAGCAGAGACAGAGAATAGCTGTTGAACTTAATTACAAAGAAATAGGGGCGTTTTAAACCAAAACACTGCCTTTGATTAAAGATTCACCACGAAAACTCGAACCAAGGACCTTCTTAAATATAATACACTCGGACGTCTCTTATCCGGGCACCTTGGGACCGGGCACTGCCCGTATCTCAGATTTGCCCGTATCTCAGGATAACTCAGCTACTATGTATCGTATCATTTGTGAAGAAGTTTATTTTGAACGTATTGCTCATGTTCAGGATACAAAAGGAACTGATTGATAAAAGTGTGTGAATTACATAGGTTGGCAATGAAAAATAAGCACTTCCACATACGGAAAAAAAGTTCAAAACCCCCAAATTCGAAGCATTTGTGCTATAGCCTATAGGACCTCAAGCTGAAGGTGCCCGGTAGAGAGACGTGCCCGTATCTGAGGCGTCCGGATAAGAGGCGTTTGAGTGTACTCATATTTTTCCTGAAGCAGTAATGAGAGAGCTTGGAAGCTCAGGGCCCTACGCTATGCTTTTTTTGCCTTGATGACCTAGGTAAAAAGAGCATAGGGATGTTATAAATTTTTGATTTCTCCTATTTTTTTCAAGACATAACCTGGGATTCGAACTCGCACTATCGCCCTGCGTGCATCCCCCGCTACACTTCACATGCATACTTATTCTTCCAAGTTCCTTCAAGTTATGATCTCGCATTTGAAAGCCCCAGTTGAATATTGTGGCCAGCTGTTTGTGGCCAGCCGTTTTGGATGGTACGGTATGGAACAGGTACGGTCAAGGGTAATACGACAACGACGTTACGTCTACCGCCTTGATGACCTAGACAAAAAAGCATAGGGATGTTATAAATGTCTCAATTCTCCTTCTTTTTTTTCAAGGCATACCGTATTTCCCCGTAAGTAAGTTCTCCTCAATGACTTAGTACCCCTATAAAAAATACACTTTCCACTGCCGAGGTTATCACCCCGAAAGACAGTTCCCCCGAAAGATAGTAAGTTCGTACCCGTCCTACATGAACAGACACCGTACAGTACATACATCATATGCACGGCCACTAGAGCTGCGCAGGCTTCCCACTGCGTGTCATTTACCCCCGATAAAAAAGTACTCCCCGAAAGATAGTACCACCCCCGAAAGTTAGTACTCATGTGGCTGCTAAGTTCGAAAGTTAGTACGTACTAACTTACGGGGAAATATGGTAACCTGGGATTCGAACCTGCACAATCGCCCTACATGAATTTCCCGAAACACTTCGCATTCATACTCATTCTTCCAAGTTGCTTCACGTTATAATCTTGCATTTGAAAGCCCTATTTGAATATTGTGGCCAGCTGTTTGTGGCCAGCTGTCTTTGATGGTACGGGACGGTACGGTACGGGACAGATATGGGATAGCGCCAGGCGTGACACAAACAAACAAACAAACAAACACCAAATTAAAGCTGTGTGGACCCTGGCTAGCGCCAGACGTTACTGAAGTAACGTCTTCTGCATACCTACGGGAATAAAACAGTAGTATTGCCAGTTTTGCATACAGAAATGATCCTCTTTAGCTGACTAGTAACATATGCATTACTCACTGGCAACGTGTAAAGTTAGAGTGTTCCTCTGATACAGTTTTTCTCCCTGCCGAAAGCTGCATTCATACGTTCCTATCATTGACTGAGTGATAGTTGTTGGCCAGTGGAGCTTTCTGGTGTATGTTATATCCTTTTCTGTTGATATCTGCCGATTGTCTTTATAATAGCGTTCAATCCTGAACAATGGATTCTCTTGAACAGGTGCGTTGTTGAAGTACCAGAAAGCTGTCGACGGGGGTGGGTCAATGGGCCCAATTGAACGAATTGTGCCACATATGATCAAACACGTCAAAGTAGGAAGACTTGCCGATGACGTGTCAGGCAAAATGTAAAAATCTCTTGGTCCTTGATAGTTAATATGACCAATCGGTTCACTTCTAAACCCAACATATCCAGTTTTACAGTCTGCAACAACAAACGCACACAATGTGAGCAAAAAACAATGATGACTTTCATAGAAACTATGTGGAAGTATTAACTGTCACGTTGCCGTGAAGTGGCACCAAATGCTAACGTACGGGCTGTATTGCATGATACTCGGCAACCGCTCTTACTGTTGCCTAGCAACGAGTTTCCAGCTTTCCTGGGCCCCCAAATAACTATCATTGTTGTGTGACTTTGCACATGACTGCATGGCGTCAGAGCAACTTTGGAAGAGTTCCAACGAGCTAGGAATCAGACGAAGCCCATGGTTGCCTCCGCTCGCCATCGGCCCTTTCTCGCAATTCAATTTTTGTATTCATTAATGGTGAACAAAGACAGAAAAGCACTATATGTACGGCCTGGACTACCATCATACAAAATGGCACTCATTGTAAGAAAAAGAATACAAGAGGATGTAGATTGATGGACTTAGGTGCTCATGCCCTCGCTCAGTATTATTTTCATCAGTCCTCACGGATATCACACCATTGTGACAATACAATCACCCTTCTACCCTTGTTTTTACTGCAGTCACTATGTAACCTTCACTGAACTCATAGTTTGAGCATATTTTCTGGTTTATTTTCCCATGTACACTATTCGATGTAAGTTCACTGATGACCGACGAAGAAAAAAAGAACGTTTATGAATTCTTCTTCAGTGGCGGGTTTAGGGGGTGGGGGCGCGCCCCCCCCCCCCCTCTCAAAAGTTTCGACCTAGGTTTCGAAAAATAAAAGGCATGGCGCCGGGGCTACCTAGACTAGGCTCGGGGCGCGCGCGGCCTGAAACGATCGTCCAAAAGCGGTTGCACGGTAGATCTATGGTGCTCGAGCTAGTGTTGATTGTACACACTACAGACTAAATTGTTAGATTGACAGCATGAAACAAGGTGGAGGATACTGTGTTTGAAAACAGTGACCTTACTACAACCTTCCGCGGTTGGCAAAGCCCCGATCCCTGCGGACCATTTGAACCATATGGGTATCGCACCCGGTTCAGTCTAATACTGGTTTACCAGTTTTGGATTATTTAACACTACAGACTAGTACAGTACAGTCTACAGAGTACGTACAGTGAGCATGCACAGCCACAGAAATACGGTGATCTGACTGTGTACTGTTGTACAATGTGATCCCTGCTGGGACGCGCTCGACGCGTCTTCAACGTTACGTACAAACATCGAAGAAAAGTCATCGATCAAATCAACCAAAACACAATTGGAATGCCGAGGGTTCAGGCAATCATCCTCGTTCGAATCGTGTTTTGGTTGACTCGAAGACTTTTCTCCGATGTCTCAATGACATGCCAAAAGGCCGAGCTCTAGCCAGCAGAGCCTGGAATTTTGTAAAGCGTTCCTGTGGCGGCGCAACTCCTGCTGCCGCTCCAACAGGAAACAGTGGGAGTGATGAAGTCGCTGTTATTTCAGTTGAACTTTCGGAGCGGACTGACAGTCACACTCCGCCAGACGTGGAAGAACCTGTTGTCAGCGAGCAGCCAGAACATGAAGAACAGTGCACAGTGACAAGTATCGCTGCCTATGTAAACTTGAGAGCGGTGAGAAATTGTTGGACTCGCACAAATAATTGCAGTTGATTCGCTCACATAACGGCAAATTTGAAGTTTACAATGTACATTGTTGCAGCATGTACAGAAATACTGCTCGTGGTTTGTGAGATTTACGACTTGTTGTTGTTGTTCTTTATTTTACTTCACCAAATGAACAGGCAGAGATACCTTCTCACCTGCCCATAGGACAGGTTCTCACAGAATGATGAAGGGATGATATGCAAGGGAAAACAAGAAATGATAATAATAATTATAAGACAGAAAGGACCAAAAGAAGAAAAGGACTAAAAGAAGAAAAGGAAAAATTTATATGAAGACAATTTCATGGAGTCAGAAATAGAAAGACAATAACTTCATGGAGTCAAAGAATAAAAAGACAATTTCATGGAGTCAGGAACACGTGGTTGATTTTATAGACATGCATGCACAAATGATTGATAGATGAGAAGGTTGGAATTTATGGCAGATAATGAAAGTTTAACGAGGATATTCACAAAGTAAGTATGTCAATGGCAGAAAGAGCTTTTCGGAAGGGACCAGGGACATGTATCACTCTAAAATCAGAGGGGAAAGCGTTCCAGAGAATGCTTCCCCAAAACATCATGGTCGATCGTCCCGCAGGCCCACGAAGAAAGGGAACTTGAAGCAAGTTCGACACTTGCCCCCGTGTGGTGCGCTGATCCTCCGGAACAGTCTCTGGGGCCGTTCTGGTGAATACCTGTTGAAGAAGGAGCTTCTTGACATCGGTTTTCAAAATCTGGTTGCGACTTATGCTCCAGTGCGGCCTATACTCCGTAAAATACGGTACAGTACTGTCGGGTACCGAAGAAGGGAGCGCCAAAAAACGACCAGGCTAGAATTTTACTAAGCACAGCATACCAATGTATGCACGGTGACTCAACTGTGCATAGACTGTAGTACATGAAAATAGGAATGGTCTAGGCTAGGAGACCCCCTCCCCCCCCCCCCCCCTCCCCCAGTTCTTCGACGACTGACATAACTTTATACATATACATGTACTTACTTTCATGCTGACTCTGCACTGCCAATATCATTCCCAGCAAGATTAACACTGAGAAGATATGTTGGGCAAAATGTTGACCATTGATGAATTTTGTGTACTGCATGAGAAAAATACAGATATACACACATACCACATGCCCAACACATGCGCTCACATGCCCAACACATGCGCTCACATAGACACACAGACATACATGCATGCAGA